CTGCCATATCAACTAACAATAAAAATATACATACATACATATGTATTGTTAAGAGGAAATGTTAACTTTTGATTTTTAAATTTACAAATTTATCCTCTCATCATTTTCCAGCATAAATTCCCTTGCTCCAATCCTCCACCGCCTGAATTCAACAATAAAACCTTAAATAAAATCAAATAAATAAACAATACAAGTATCATAATCCTAGCCGTTCTTTCATTAGCCTCACGAATATCTCACCCTCTCTCTGTCCTTAAACTAGAGAAAAATAGAGTGAGATAAAGAGAGCAATAAAACCAGATAACAGTTAACAAAACCCTAGACTACAATGGATCGCTCCTCCAAGCGCACCCGAGACGACCGTGACCGTGACCACCACAAACACCGATCACGGGACGATAAGCACCGAGACTCTTCCGATTCTCACCACCACCGATCAGAGAGAGAATCTCACCAGCGCGACCATCACAAATCATCTAGGCGCGATGATACTAAGCGCGAAAGATCTCGCGAGCGAGAAGAGAGTGTAGATAGGCGAGAGAGATCTCACGATCACAGATCATCTTCCTCATCGAGGCGTGAGGACAGAGACAGATCGTATGATGCGAGAGAGGAGAGAGAAGGGAGTAGAGAGAGAAAGCGCGAGAAGAGAGAGAGAGAAATTGAAGAGGAGGATTATTTTGAGAGAAAGAAGAGAAAAGAGAGAGGAGGGAGTGAAGATAGGGTTGTTGTTGACAAGGAGAAGAGAAGTAGAAGGAGATTTGGCGAAAAAGTGAAAGAAGAGGATAACAGTATTGATACCAATAATAATGGTAATAGTTTTGAGAATGTGAAGAGTGTGGATTTGAGTGAGGTTAGAGTGAAGGAGGAAGTGAATGGTCAGCCAACTGGTGGCGGCAGTGGCAGCACCACAGAAAACGGTGGTGTTTCGACTGCAAATGTAAGTTTTCTTCCTGGATATATTTTTATTTTTCTTGCCTGCTTTGGGTATTCTTTTCCATTGTGTTTGCTTGCTGTTTTGTGGTTTGATTAAGTGTAAATGTTTGGCTTGGATAATTGGATTAATGTAATATATTAAGAATAGAGGACGGTGTTATGTTCTCTATGTTCTCTTATCTTTGGTTTAATTAGTTGTAATATGGGCTGTTTGGATTAGATGGTGGGATAAGGAGGGGTAGTTTGGTGGGGAGATGGGAGCTGTGGTTCTTCACCGAATTTGATGCTGCGTGTGCCTTTTACGATTTACAACTAGAAGCTATTTTATTTCTTGTGTTACATCTCGTAGTGTTCATGGTTGCTCAAATGGGACTGGTATTGTCTGTTTCCATGTGTGTAATTTGAGAATGGAGGTGGTATAGTGGATAATTTGTTGTTTTTAAATCTAAAATGACTAGTCGCTGTGCTTTACTGGAAATAGAAAATTGAGCAATGATTTGGATCAGGTTGATAATTAGATTTTCAAGTTTAATTTTAGTGGTTCTATGTGAAAAACGTAGGTAAATTTTAGTGCCAAGTGAAGGAAGATATATAGTGTTTGTGGCATATGTGATTTGCCAAGCAGTGTTCTTAGGGTGTGTTTGTTTTTGCGGTTGTATTTGCTTATCAAAGTTCTTTTCAAACCGTTCGTTGTTGGAAAAAAAACATTAAATTGATCCTTTTCAGTGCTTTTTGATGGTTTTGATGAGCTGATGTCAAAAAAGAATACTTGTTTTTTGGAAAAATCTTTTTGATGCATTTTCAATTGGAAAACACTTTTAAAAAGTACCATGTTGGAAAAATCATCTTTTTGATGCATTTTCGATTGGAAAACACTTTTAAAAAGTACCATGGACTGCATTACCAAACACACTCTTAAATCCTTATATTTTTTAATTAGCATTTTCTTAAGGTTTTTGCGGAAGGACTCACTTTTGTTCCTCTTTTGGCCTCATTCACGTGCTCAATTGTCCCTAGTGCTTGGCACTCTGCCTTGCAAGCATGCTGCTGTGTGCACATGGACTATCTGGTTTCATCAGTTTTCTAATAGTAATAAGAACCTTTTGAACTGTATTTTGAGATTCCAAATAATTGGTTTGCTTACGTAAAGGTTGATTAAAAGTCCTCTATTTTAACAAGAAATGGCAATTTCCCTTTCGTGCTAGAACTGTTTTCCCATCAATCTAGATGTAGGTAGAAGATAACGGTCTTTATCTTTTTTTTTTTTTTGTTAAGACCTGCTTTCACTTCCTATTTTTATGCAATGAATATTTGGCTGGCTGTAGAAGGATGTGTCCTGTGAATCTTGCATTTAAATTGTTCAACTTTTAACTGTTCCCTGTGTAAGGTGATTGGTGTCTGATATTTACGTTTGTGCCTAATTATACGTGTTTGGATTCTGTATAATGTACAAGCACAAAATGCATGCATAGAATCTAGGGTGTTATAGAAGTTATGCTTCTTGACAGTGTATTTTCCCAGAGCCATCTTAAATTTTATTCACATGGTTTGGCTTTTGCATGATGTTTTCATTTGATTATAACCTAATTATCTTTTCAAAGCTTTTCATTTGTTGCCCCTCCAATCTCTACTTTTAAATGGTCTTTCTTAAGGTGCTCCTATTATCAAGCATGTATGCTGACATGTGAAGTTAATTGTTCCATACCTGCAGGGTGATACTCTGGCAACTTTCACTAAGACACCAAGCAATTTGCCTGAGACCTCTGTGGCTCCTGTCCACCCCCTTCCTACCAAGGTATCTTCAATTTCAAACACAAATGAAAATAAGGGAGTTAGTATTGCCAGATCTCATGAGGTTCCTGGAAAATCTAGTACAGATGGGACAACTTCAGCTGCTGGGAAAAGTGGAAATCTATCACTTGATGCTTTAGCGAAAGCTAAGAAAGCCTTACAAATGCAGAAGGAATTGTCAGAGAAGCTGAAGAAGCTACCCCTGGTAAGTTTTCATCATGGAATTTCTATGACATTCTTGTATGTGCGGTTGTTTCCCTACATCTCTTTGTCATGTCCAAATATTTATACACCCTCTTTCTTTCTGTGATTCAGTACATATTAACTGTTTCTGTTCTTTGCTCTTGTAGTCGAGTAAGGGTAATACAAGTTCAGGTGGTAGCTTACATGGTCCATTGTCATCAGCAACCATTACTACTGCTGTTTCAGTAGGGGCTATGCCAAGTTCATCCACCTCATCTACTAGTACTATGGTGTCTGTAAAGCCACCTGCAACTGGCATGGCACCTCCGCCTGATATTACTAGCATGCCCAATTATGAAGCTGTTAAACGTGCCCAGGAACTCGCTGCTAAAATGGGATTTCGCCAGGACCCTGAGTTTGCTCCTCTTATAAACTTTTTCCCCGGTCAGTTGCCAGCAGAAGTCTCTGTGCTGCAGAAACCTTCTAAGGCCCCTGTTCTTCGTGTGGATGCACTTGGTAGGGAAATAGATGAACATGGAAATGTGGTGAACGTGACCAAACCAAACAACCTCAGCACCCTAAAGGTTGGATAATCTCTATAAGACTGGTCTTTTTATTATCTTTTTGTTAGACCTGTGATATTTAAATAGTGATTGTGTAGGGCTGTATTGTGATACATTTGGATTTTTTCAGGTCAACATCAACAAGCAGAAAAAGGAAGCATTCCAGATTCTCAAACCTGAATTGGATGTGGATCCTGAATCAAATCCTTATTTTGATGCAAAAATGGGAATTAATAAGAATAAATTCTTGAGACCCAAACGAATGACTTTCCAGTTTGTAGAGGAGGGCAAGTGGTTAAAAGAAGCTGAAATAATGAAACTGAGGGTACTTCTTGCAAACTCTATACCTTTTTTCTGTCATTGCTATTTTCATTGTGTGCGTGTATTTATAGTTTTTATTTGCTTTACTCAGAATCAATTTGGAGAAGAAAGAGAAAAGGATATGAAGGCAAGGCAAGCATTACATGCGAAGGCAAAGGCAGCTCCTGATATAAATCCTAATTTGATAGAGGTATCAGAGCGAGTTATAACCAAAGCAAAGCCTAAGGATCCAATTCCTGATATTGAGTGGTGGTAAGTTTGCATTTACTTCTCTTTATATAATATGATCCTTTTCAATAACAACACTTGTTGCTTTGTTGCAGAATTGGTTCCACATTGTACACTTGAATTTGAGCCTGAATGATCTAACTGGAATTGTTGTTTGCTAATTCTCATTTTACAAACAATTGCTTGTCACTGGAAATGCTCTATTTCAAAAAATCTTTATTTGATCCTTCCTTCTTTGTACGGGCTGTATAAGGATGGCTAGGGATTGATGAGCTGTTTTTTCTTTGCAACTGCTTGTGTAGATTCCAAGATTCTGAAATGTCTGAGGTTCAGCAATGACTGAATCTTAAAGTTGTGTTCTACTTATTCACAGAGTTTGATCAGAGTGGCTTTTTAACCAGGGTTGTGGCAAACTTAGAATCCTGTTCTGATTCCTTTAAGCTACCTTTCCCAGTGGTTTATCCTGGCTATCGCATGCTCAATGAGTCACACAACCTAGTTAAAAACTGTATCTGAGCAAAAAAATAGGTCCAGTACATCCTAAGCTCCTTAGTCTACAATCTTGGGGTTTCCTTCTTTTGAAGCCTGAGAAGGGTTTCATGTATATGTCTAGCTGTTTGTGAATACTTCAAATTAGAATAATTACAGATAGTGGGAGAACTTTTGACTGGTTATTCTATTTGCTTTAGCTTTTCTTCTTATTCTCATATTGGTCATTCTCGTCTTAGTTGGAAAGGAATTAATCTGTTTGTGGTTGCTGAATTTCAGGGATGTACCTCTGCTGACTAGTGGGACTTATGGTGAGGATGTTGATGATCTCACGACCCAGCATAGATTGAAAATGGAGAAAATTACTATCTATGTGGAGCACCCACGTCCTATTGAGCCCCCAGCTGAGCCAGCTCCTCCCCCACCTCAACCTTTAAAGCTAACTAAGAAAGAGCAGAAGAAGCTCCGTACACAGCGTCGCCTTGCTCGGGAAAAAGATAGACAGGAGATGATTAGACAAGGCTTGATTGAACCTCCAAAACCAAAGGTTAAGATGAGCAATCTAATGAAAGTTCTTGGATCCGAAGCAACACAAGATCCAACTAGACTTGAAAAGGAAATTCGAACTGCAGCTGCTGAACGTGAACAAGCACATATTGATCGTAATACTGCACGTAAGCTCACTCCTGCTGAGCGCCGTGAAAAGAAGGAGAGAAAGCTCTTTGATGACCCAAATACTGTGGAAACTATTGTTTCTATATACAGAATCAACAATCTTTCAGACAAGAAAACCCGCTTCAAAGTTGATGTCAATGCCCACGAGAATCGCTTGACTGGATGCACGGTGATTACAGAGGGAATTTGTGTGGTGGTTGTTGAAGGGGGAAGCAAATCCATCAAAAGATACGGAAAACTAATGCTTAGGCGTATAAACTGGGCTGAAGCTGTAAATGAGGATGAAGGAGGTGACAATGACGAGAAACCTATGAACAAATGTGTGCTAGTGTGGCAAGGTAGTGTTGCCAAACCTAGCTTCCACAGGTTTTCTTTGCATGAGTGTGTGACTGAAGCTGCAGCCCGAAAATATTTTGGTGATGCTGGTGTTGCCCACTATTGGGATCTTGCTGTCAATTTCTCTGATGATCAAATGTGAGAGGCTGCTTTGAAGAAAGAGTGTTTTCAGGTCATTACTGATCTTTGTCAAAGTCTAGTTTCTTCAATTTGCGGCTGAGAGTTCTGAGATAACTCTGATGCAATTTTTCACCTCCATGTGGCTTTCAGATCATTGAAAGTAGATCTTTTGCTTTAAGATACGTGTTGATTTAAATCCCATGTTTCTGAACCTTTCTGTCCATGGGGTTAGGCAGAAAAATGCTTGAAAGCTTCGAATTTAAAACGTAGACGCTATTGTCAGATTGAATAGTTAATTCTGATGGTTGATCTTTCTTCAAGGCAGTGTGGCAACTACTAGGCTGGTCTGGTATCTAAGTGAATTGTCAGATAACAGTTACATGTTTGCTTGCTTTAAGATAGGCTAATCTCGAGTTTTGCTAATGCCCAATGACAGCATGCTTGCTGATGATGTTGGGAATTGCAGTGGCCTGTGCATGCAGAAAGTGGCGAGTACATTTGTTATGTAGTGTTTAGGGATCAGCATTTGTTGATGCAGCTGTTAAGGCCGTCAGTCAACAACGTTAATAAAATCACGCTGCCGTCTTTCCGAGAGGTACCCGTAAAGTACTCGTGAATTAAGGATGAAGACGTCAGAGCTCTTGCTGTCCATAAATGGGATGCTGGGAGACATTAGTGTTTTTTAGATTTGATATTTCTTGGCACATCCCCTATCGCCTGAGCATTTATAGCAATTTTAGGAAGGGAGGCTTCTTGTGCCGCCGGAGCCTCCCATATTTATTTCAATAATTTCATCTAACAAAATTGAATTTCCTGACTAAAGACAAGCATATCTTCAACAACAATCATTCTTTCATCTCATAATTGAGGATTACGTGAACTGGAGGTGCACGGCATCGGGCAGCCAAGGGTTCAACCTGCCACCGTCATATATTTAGACTGACCTGAAAGCGCTAATATAGGAGCATAGAACGAAGAAAATGGTAATCGGGCTTTGTTTTTTCTCTCCCGTGGGATGGTATCTTTTCCTTCGCGGACCGGGACTGAGCTCACATTCAGTTTAGTTAGTTAAAGGCACGTTATTGACATCGGATTACAAGACTAGGAGATTCATATGAATTTACTTCAATGTTATTAGATAAAAGGTTTTAGAAAAAAGTTGAAAAATTCAAAATCAGTATTGTTTATGAAAATAACATTACTTTATTTTTTAAAATTTATTTTTAAGCATAAAAAACAATTAATGTCAAGAAAAAAAAATCAAACCGGTTATAACTGCCTCAAGTTAAGTTACTTGATTAATTAATTTAAGGGAGTGAATGGGCACCTTACTATTTAGGTCTAAAAAAGTACTAAATAGGTAGTCAACGAATCCTATTGACTAAGGCAAACCACGTGTACGCGTTGAAATGGAAAGATTACCCTAGAGTATAGAAAAAGTTCTGGGTAAAGTATGAAGAGAAGAGTTTCTCTTTTGCTCCAGAAGATTAAGAACATGCAGCTTGATAAAGACGGGTAACAAAAACAAGCTGCAGGCATTCCTCTTTTGAAGGTTGACTTTCGAGTTTACAGTGACAGAAAAAAAAAAAAAAAAACAGTTGAGAAATGAGCCCCATGCCCTTGCACATGCCTGTTCACTTTATGCCCATGTTTTATTTTGACTAGGGAGATTTCTCGCAGCTTTATTTGTAGGTGCGGGTTAGCTTGAAATTTGGTGAGTGACGGTAGCCTATCTACATTGAACCACCGAGTGTCTTGTGTGTTCCAAAAATATAATGCATTTTTGTGAACTTGTTGCTTGCACTCTTTTCCGTTCCCTTTTTGAGATAATGCAAGCATGCTAGTGGGCACTTCATGGCTAACAAGACCACCTTTGTTTTATTATTTAATTTTGAGCTGTGGAAATTGTCCTTTGTACTTGCGATACGCCATGATCGTATATATGTGCCTTCTTTTCCCATTTTATATATTTTCCCTTTTTCTTGAATTGGTTGAACTAAATAGCTTCAATATTCAACAATCTCCCATTCGCTGGAGGAGCCCATATCTGGTCCATGCTGCTTGTAATTTAAAGTTCCATTTTGAGCTACCTAGATAGAGTGTTAGAAGCATGCCTCTTTATGCACATCGACTAACTTGAGAGAGATTTTATTAATTTGTGGCTTACTATATTTATTCAATTTCATGGCAACGCCAATAATATTCTGTGAGTTTCCATTGAAGGTTTTCGTGTGTAATGAACAGCTAACTTCGCATCCATAATCGATGGTTTAATGCTGTAAGATCTTACTATAAGTTGCCATGTTTAGAGATTAATAATAGGCTCGGGATAGCTTTAATTACATTATCTAAACTCGAATGGCTCCTTTTTCTTCAGGAAGCAAGCAGGAAGACTTGGTTAGATTGTTAGCTGTATGATCTCATAAAGGAATGCCAACTTAACTGCTGCTCCCTTCTGTGCTTGCAACCATTAATGTCGTCTTCTTTGAGGTACGAAAAATAAATAATAAATCCAGTTGTGTGTTCCAAAATTCGTTATTTGCTCGAATTATTAATTCATTCGCGTACCCTTTAGTAAGGAGTCTAATAACTGATCTTGTTTCAAACAACCGTGCAAATCTAAAAGTTAACTACACAAGCCCACTCTACTTGCATAAATTCACAAAACTTTGCTTTTAATTTTTATCAGTAGAATGGAGATATAAAATTTAAATTTATTAACAGGAAGATTTCAAGAATAATTTTATGTTGTTTTCTAATATATATTTTAAATAAAAATTATTTAAACTTAAAATTTATATAAACTTCTATTATCTTGTATTTTTAATTTTTATTAAATAGAATAATAATTACAAAATTTTAACTCATAATCATTTGATTATCAAGATTCTAATTTTATATCAAAAAATTATTTCAACTCAATAATTTTAAATATTAAATGAAACTTAAAATATAATTTATATAATTCTCTATCATACTTATTTGTAAAGTTTTAAACTTAAAATTTATATAAACTTACTTTATTATATATTTAATTTTTATTAAATAAATAAAAATAATAAAATTTAATCATAAAATTTTAATATTTTGAACACAGTAGTCTACCAGTATGGAAGCCAAGTACGGAAGCCACCTAACACTAGGTAAGCTAGCAACGCAACATCTAGACCAGTACTGGTAGAGTTAGGGGTGGAATTAAAAAATAAAATTGAAATGAATTAAAATGTTAATTGTTTTATTATTTAGGTTAAAAATATAAATATTGTTAAGGAAAGAGTTGAATTTTTTTTTTTTACAATGGTCGGGACACCTGCTAGCAACGTAACATCTAGGCCAATACTAGTGAAACTAGGGGTGGAACTAGAAAATAAAATTAAGAGGAACTAAAATGTTATTTACTTTATTATTTAAGTTAAATATATATATATATTATTAAGACAGAGGCCGAGAAAAAATTTTCTTTGCAGTGACCGAGACACCCCCTGCATGGATTAAAATGTTAATATGAAAAGTGGATATATTTGTCCCTAAAGATTTGCATGATTCTCAATTGGGTCTTCTGACAAAATAAATTTTCAATTGGATCTCCCATCCATCAATCACTACCCAATTAAATCACCATTATGATATGACAACAAATCGCATCGTTTTGAGACAGATGGGTCATCCTTTCTTTCTTTTTTTTCCTTTTCTCTTTTCTCCTGGGAGTTTCAAAGGGCATAGCTTTTTTTAAAAAAAGGGTTAATTAATTGGATAATGTTCAATAAACAGGAAAGTTTTTTTATTGGGAATTGTTTTAAATCGAGGACTATTATCTTGTATTTTTAATTTTTATTAAATAGAATAATAGTTTCAAGATTTTAACTCATAATCATTTGATTATCAAGATTCTAATTTTATATCAAAAAATTATTTCAACTCAATAATTTTAAATATTAAATGAAACTTAAAATATAATTTATATAATTCTCTACCATACTTATTTGTAAAGTTTTAAACTTAAAATTTATATAAACTTACTTTATTATATATTTAATTTTTATTAAATAAATAAAAATAATAAAATTTAATCATAAAATTTTAATATTTTGAACACAGTAGTCTACCAGTATGGAAGCCAAGTACGGAAGCCACCTAACACTAGGTAAGCTAGCAACGCAACATCTAGACCAGTACTGGTAGAGTTAGGGGTGGAATTAAAAAATAAAATTGAAATGAATTAAAATGTTAATTGTTTTATTATTTAGGTTAAAAATATAAATATTGTTAAGGAAAGAGTTGAATTTTTTTTTTTTACAATGGTCGGGACACCTGCTAGCAACGTAACATCTAGGCCAATACTAGTGAAACTAGGGGTGGAACTAGAAAATAAAATTAAGAGGAACTAAAATGTTATTTACTTTATTATTTAAGTTAAATATATATATATATTATTAAGACAGAGGCCGAGAAAAAATTTTCTTTGCAGTGACCGAGACACCCCCTGCATGGATTAAAATGTTAATATGAAAAGTGGATATATTTGTCCCTAAAGATTTGCATGATTCTCAATTGGGTCTTCTGACAAAATAAATTTTCAATTGGATCTCCCATCCATCAATCACTACCCAATTAAATCACCATAATGATATAACAACAATCGCATCGTTTTGAGACAGTTGGGTCATCCTTCTTTTTTCCTTTTCTCTTTTCTCCTGAGTGTTTCTAAGGGCATAGCTTTTTTTTAATTGGATAATGTTCAATAGACAGGAAAGTTTTTTTTATTGGGAATTGTTTTAAATCGAGGACCTAATTTAGATTTGGGAAGTACTTGAGGGGTCCTCTGTCCAGAAGCTATTGATATATTCAAAGAAAGTAATTTGAAATTTCATGTCAGGGTAAGAAGTAATTTTCAGTTTCGAAGGCTGGAAAACGTGGAGAGCAGCAGAAATCGAGACTTTCTCATGCAACCTGCAGCCTTCGACGTGCTTGACGAGGCCTTGGGTTCTGGAAAAGATAGAATCAATTCGGGGGCACGAGATAGCTTACATGCATGTGAAGAAATATACATCCCGAACCCTCCAGCATGGTACAACCATGTTATCTTCGGACTTTTGACAAGTTCGGCTCCACATCTTTTTTTTTTTGTTTTGATTTACGTGGGGTGTCCGGGCCAGCTTGCATGCACCACGACTAATCCTCACGGTCCACTGAATACCCTGCAAACCCAGTAAGCATGTAAGGCACCGCGGGGGTGACAGACGTGCACGCCAGGACTCGAACCCAGGTGCAGTGGAAGGAGACAAACCCCTTCCACCGCTAGGCCAAGCCCTGGTTTGCAGTTCGACTCCACATCTTAATTATATTTATGGTGTTCAAACATTTATTGAGTGATTGTTTGGCTGCATGGTAGTTTATTTTT